GGGTAGATTATTTGATATTTGAGCTTAATTTAAACTGTGAGAACTTGGTTTTACACAGGGTAGTTTTGGTATTTTTGGAAACTAAAAACCTGAAAATTCAAAACATTTCAGCAAAAATTTTTTGAGAATTTTTTGAGTTTTTTTTTCAAATTTCTATTTCGTTTTTCTGTTAATTTTTCTTCGAAAAACTGTTTTCCAATTGAATTATTTTACTATGACTCGAAAAAGCCTAATTTACCTTTTTTCAGATTTTTTATCACAACATACAGAAAAAAACCACCTCGATTTGAGAATTCATTTTCGTTTTTTTTATGACTAAGGTCGAAACATTCTGGGCTTTTTGCACAGTAACCGTCTATCCCTGTTTATTTTTTTTCGGTCATTTATGTTTACAGCTATCCTGTTAAAGATATGTTGCCTGCTATTTGAGTTTGTCTCAACAAACTTTGTCTTATCGAGCATTCTTGTCAAACAATAATGGGTAATGAATAGTTCAGCTGGTAAATCTTTGGACTTTAAAAGTATATGATCATATTTTTTGCGGAGATAGCACACTTTGACTACGCAGTTGATTTCCATTAACAATTCAGGATACTTAGCATGATCCTTTGCCAAAATTGTTTCATTTCTAAAAGTGTTTTTTAAATTTTTTTTCTAACTTTTCTCTTCCCCACAGACAAAAATTTCTGTTCCATCAGTATTAGAAACAGCTTTGTTTTCATTCAAAAATTCATATATTTCTAGCGTTTCAAGCATTAATATTTGTTGGTCGGTTATTGACTTTTCTATATAGACTTTCCTTAATTTGAAAAGACTTAATTGAATTGATTCGCTATTTCAGTAACAGCTTTTGTTGTTTTGCCAACTTCCATATAAAAATTACTGATTTTTGATTACTCTTTTTGCCTATATTTTTTTTGTAAATTCCCATTGTTCTCTATTGTTGGAAAGCTGCTGGCGGAGGATTTTTTAAACATTTCTGACCGATCATAAAGAGCAAGGTCGAAGTTTAGTTTCTCTCGATGAAAATTTTGGAATTTTCTTACCTCAATTTGAATGATTCCAATTGTTAACTTGCAAGAAATTATTTTCATGATAAAGCATGTAAAGGTCTGAGTTGAAAGGCAGCTCTTTCAAATTCGGTTGTTTTGAAACCAAGCATTGGTCGATAAGTGAAATAATTTTTTGAATTAAACTTGATGGTTTTAACGACGACGTTTGGATTATTTAAACCACATATTGCAGCAAAGTCGTAAAATTGTGACCAATCATCCTGTTTTAAATTTTTATGTTGTAGTCGCCAGTTTAAAAAAAAATCCTTTTTTGGAATCAGCGTCTGGAAAATCAGCAAAAAGTTATAGGGAGAGATTTTTTATAATTAACACTAATATTATTAAGGTTATTTTTGCACGAATGGTGGCTCAATTTGGTACCATATGGACTCAAAAACTTATGGACTCGAAATTGCATTTTGAACGATAAAGGAGTCCAAACCTCCCATGTTTTTAGACATGTGCATACTCATTGTGAAGACAAACAAAGTTATGCATTGAGCTTAAAATGGTAATTACTACTGGTTTAGGTTTAAGACATGCTTCTGCTGCCTCAATTATAGTGTTCATTGAAAATTCACTTCAAAAATTGACAATTTTTTGATACATATTTTGCACGCTTCTGAAGTTTTTTAGGCAAATATTGACTGTGTTAGACTGACTTCTAGTTTCCAAAAATTTTTTATTGGCTCATAGTTCTTGAAGGTCACGAATATAACCAAATTTATCTTCATTATCTCCTGAGAGGGTTAACTTCAGTCTTCGTATCATACGCAAAAAAAATATGTTTCATATTTTACCATTGTATAACATAGTATAAAAAAAGCAGAATTATGACAGGTTTTTTGTTTGGGATAAAAAACGGAAGAACGTCTGAGTAAATAGCGTTTAGCGTTACCGAATTAAAAACAAACAAAAGTTAAAAAAGCGCCAAAAACTGCAAAGTCTTCATTTGATATTTGAATTTGTAACTCAAATATCCATTTTGCGAATCATTTTCCGCGTTTTGATTTTAACAATGGAAGTGAATAGAAGGTTTTTTGGAAAAATTGTTTCAGAGATTTTCAACTAGTAATTGAATGCCACTAGAGTTTGGATGCACTCCCTCATCAGAAAAATTAGCAGTTATGAGATTAGTTTTTACACATTTAAGTTTAGACCACGGAAGTGTACCATCCGTTTCCAAACGCATACTTTCTAAAGCAGCATTGAATAAGCTGCAATCGGTGTTATTTTGAACTCTGACAAATAACCGTGATTCACAGGAGTTATTTCGTAAACTGCAACTCATAGAGTTTATATTTTTTAATGGATCTCTAAACGGTTTCTCGAAATTGTTACCAGGTTGTTTTCCCGTAAGTCATCTATCAAAAGAATTATGTCCCACGTTCATAACAATAGTTTGAAATTTATTATTGAATTTTTGAAAATTGGACAATTTGCTCTTGTTCTAGTTATCAATAACCATTCTGCATCGTTTTGCAGTACTGTGATAATTTCTTGTGAATGCTGTAGTTTCTGTTGTTGCAGACGAGATTTTTGCAGTTCGACTTGCATGGTTGAGATGGTTTCTTCTTGAGTTGACTTTCTCGTCCTGTAGCATTTTTCAAATTTTTTTTTATTATTTCTAGAAGTAAGTCTGCTTTGTTCATGTTCGTTAGGTAAGCTATGGTTTAATTGAGTTATAGTTTTGTATCTTCAAAGTTTCATCGATTTTGTTTTTGCACGTGCTTTCTATTTGTGATATACCAGTAAAAGTAAAATTTTTCTAAATCTTTTTAATACCCTCAGCTTGACGTTGCTGGAGATCATTTAGATTTGTGCTCAAAAATTCGTGCCCAAAATTCGGTGCCAAACCAAAGGTATTCGTTTTTCTCTGTAAGGATTCACACTTTTCGGAAAAAGTTAAACATCAACGCTAAAGCGTTGTCATTTGATAAGTTTCTGAATCTTGGCTGTGTGTAGAATGCTGAATAATCAAATATTTTGTTCGAGACGCATGTTTGGCACAAAATTGGATATGAAACCTTTTTTCTTTGGAAACGAAAGGAAACTTTGCAGTCGTTTTGTTTTACACAGATGCCTATCTGATACACATCAAAACAAGTTCTACAAAAAACTGATATGCTCGAATCAGTACGGAAATCTGACCTTGTAGACTGTCTTTCATGGTTTCTGAAATAGTTCAAGGTTCAAACTTTCGACAAAGTTTGACACAACTCAGAAGATCAAAAATCGCATTTAAAAACGAGTTACTTCGACCATTTAGCATGATTCACTTTGTGTTAAAAAGACTACTGAGCAAGGTATTTTTATACCTCCTATACTACACAACAAGACTGCTCGTATCATGGCAAAGTCCGGGATGATCCTACTGCCCATCAAGTGTTCTCAAATAATTTTTAGTGAATGAAAAATTGACAAAATCATAGTTTTTTGAAGTTTAGTCTGATAATATCAACATGTAAAATTTTTTAGTCGTTTGTTGAATTAGCGAGACCAATTAGCTTGCCTCAATTCTATTTGGAGCGATTATGAAACTGAATATCAAAGTGTTATTCCAGCAATCAAGCCGCACTTTATACTAGTGTAAGCATGCGCGCTTGACAATCCCAAGATTTCCAGATCTATGATCATACGCAGTCAATTTTTCTGAAATTGGTCTGTATATAAGAAAACCACCCCGGGCTTAATACTTCTCACTTTCTTCGAAAACAAGAAAAACAAAAAAAATTGATAAATCAAAAAGTTTCAGATTGTTTCAAACCTGTTGTGAAAATTTTTAAGAAACAGTTTTGAAAAATTTCTGGAGAAACAAAAACGACATCGAGCTGCAATAGTTAGCCAGGTTCTCGATATAACGAGTTGAAACAATTGTGATATACACAAAAGATTATCAGATATATTTTTATACTAGAAAGAAGTTAACCAACTGTTTGGAATACAGTGCCTTCCTATTTAGCCAACAAACATAAAATTTCGCTCAAAAATACCTAATTTAATGCTCGTTTTAGACAAGCATAAATTAAGCTAAAACTATAACGACAATCGCTGAACAAACAAGACTGCTGCTCATATATCAAAGTGAAGCCCTGAACTGAATGTTCTGACTGCCCTTTCAGGCCATTTTTAAGTAACTAGCTTGAAAAGTTCACAAATTATTTGAAACGAAAGAATTTTTTTCTTCAAATTGTCCCCCCACACTGAGAGGTAAACTACAAAGGGATGCATTTAGCGTCTTGAGTCTTAATAATACGGCAAAATGACTTGTATCTCGTCAATTTGAAACGCATGAAACCCCCGCTTACGCGTGTTGTAAGAACGTAATAAACCATGCGTTACCACAAATTGGCCAAATTAGCAATTTTCAAACCCCCATTACTTTACGAAAAAAAATCACAAAACGGAAAACAGTAAAATTCTGTCAAAAATGCTTAGTTAGTATTCGAAAGTTGACTGAAAAAACACACCAAGCATAAATATTCCGCCTTTTCTTCAAAAGTGGGAACAACAAGACTCCGTATATCAGGACAAAGCCCTGAATGTTCTGACTGCCCTTAATCCGTATCAAATATTTTTTTGGGAAAAAAAACTATCTAAACTGTAAATTTTAAGCAATATCAAAGGTCAAGCTTGAAAATTTGACTCGTACAAAATTAATACGACCAATCAGCTAGCCTCAATCCAAATTAGACCAATTTTTTTTTGCTTGATTTTTCCGCGCCCAAAATTTTTTCAAAAAAATATCGGAGATAAATTATCTTTGCTCATTAGGATTAAGGATGTCAATATCTCAAAAGGCATTTGTAGTTTCCAGTTGAGTTCGTTTTATTTTAATATTTGTATCAACACTGTGGCTGAAAATCACTTTTCATCCAAAAAATCTATAACCTCAGATATAGGAAACTATAAATAATATTGCTTCGTAGATTCCACAATTTCGTTAAATTTCAATCATATATACATATTCAAGTTTATCAAAAAAGCGTGAGGATAAAATTTTCAAGCATTCAGTCCTTCGGGCATGAGAATTATCACAAAACAAAATGTTTTATATCGAACAGTTTATCACAGGGGCTGCTTTACTTGAAAATGTCAAATTTAGATCAATTCATGTTTGTTTCTGTGGCCACTGTGATCACACAAGTTGACCAAGCTCAAATCCTCGTGTCCTGGTCGAAAGTTGCTTGTCTTCCCGGAAGCTTCTTGGATCCAGATTTAATCACAGAGAGCAGAGCTGGAAAAAGATATTGCTTAAAAATATTCATTTATCACATCTATACGCAAAGCAGGGTTTCTCAAAAATTGGAGAAACTATTTAAATAAATTTTCTTTGATTTTAAATAAATACATCTTTGATTTCCTTGCATATTTGAGCTCAAAATTGGATCTACTTTGACGATATTCGTGATTCCCAAAAACTAATTTACATTTATGGTTTTTTACGACTTCATTGCCTGTTTTTCAGCTCAAAAACTGATTTACATTAAGAGTTTTCTTAATTTGCTACAAAGGTTTTTGCCCAAAATCTGAATATTAGAGATGAAAGATGACTTTTGCTGATTTCTATTGACTTTTGTCACGATTGTTCATTATCTGGTACGAAGGTTATACATTCGAGAAAATTTTTCACAGGCATGATTCTGCATGCCAGCAAAAACAAACCGATTTAAGTCTTTTTGAAATGGATATTTATACAATAAAATTGTTCGGCTCATGGGTTTTGTAAGTCTTAGATGGGATTTAGTAAGATTCTGATGAACTTCAATGAGTCCGAAATTCAACCAGGTAGAATCAAATAGTTTTTTTAGACAATTAAATCGATAAAGTGATAAAATATACCTTGTCAATCAAATTGGAATGATTCAATTTGGATTTAAAATGAATTAAAATCAACCCAAAGCCGTTTTTGCCTGCGTGGGGATTTAAATAATCCGAACAAAACGAACAAAACTTAAAATTTAAAAGACATTTTAAATTCGAGCCAGAAATTTTACCCCAAATATGGGTCTATTTTTTGCAATATGCAAGTATGCTGTTCTTATCTGATCATCTTTGTAGATTTCTTTTGGGGAGTCGTCTCCTGTAAGCACGCTTTTACTCAACTCAACGGCCGCAGAGTTTCTCTCCTTTCGACCGTGTAATAGCGGGGGGCACTAAGACACGATATTATCCCCAACCCTGAAAGGGTTATGTTGGTGGTCATACTAAATCGGCCGATCAAAGGATTACGCAACTTCCCCCTTGTTGTAGGCTCTTTTCGGCTCTCCTCTTGCGCTTCTAGCTAGTTCAGCAAATCGTGGGCACAATAAGTAATATCTCAAACGCAAAGGAAGTAAAAACAATTTACAGTGCCCTTAATGCGCTAACTACTATTTAGCAACTTCTATAAGGAAGCCCACGTTTCGTTCCGCTCAATCGCTTTGTTATTATTGACGCAATTCTAAACTCACCTACTCCAGTAGCGCAACTCGCTCACAAAACTAATTCAACCCGGATATATATAACCAACTTTTTGAAACGCAACTCGCTCGCACAAAAAGTTCAACCCGGGACTAAACTCGGGTTCCAATCAGCTCGCTCACACTACTATTTGAACCCGGTACTAAACTCGGGTTCCAGCGCAACTCGCTCGCTAGCACGAGTTGTTCTCTACTCTGACTGAGAACCAAATACTCTTAATAGTAGCCAACAACTGTTCTGACTCTTAAAGGCTCTCCGGTACCCTCCAATCTTTCTTTACACTTAGTTTTAGTTAAGTCACGACATTCCCGCTCAGTCCTGACATCCGCTTAAATCCCCCGTCCACACATGTTATAAGACTATATCCTCCTCCCGCGTCACCTCTGCCACTTTTGGTTTCTTTTATCAATCTTTTCACGCTTATTAGATGCCCGGTATACGATAGGTGTCACAATTTGACCAAGCAAAGAAATATCATACGATTCTAATCAGAAAATTCCTCACCTCAGTGACTTCAGCCCTCGAGTTCAACTCAACCTCCAAAGCATGCTCTTTTTACTCAGTGACACTCCCAAGATCCTTTTCATGGGTAACTAATTCATTTCAAGCATCTAAATTTTCTATCTGTACTCTATTCCAAACCCGACCTTCGAGCTATCAGGGGCAGGTAGTTTGTCTATTAGGGGTCAAAGTTAACCAAAAAGTCACCTCCGGGAAGCTAACAAAATTCCCCGTCCGTTCATCCTATTTAGGAGACTGAATTCTCATGCTGCGGTCCTATTACTATCAGATTGCTCTGGGACTACTTTTCTTTAGTCTATTTGAATTGCTATTAACAGATCACTCGCCAAGCTAAACTGACCCCATCATTTACTAAGTCCACTTTAAATTAACTCTACTACTCCAAGGTTGCGATATTAAAGATATATCTCTATCAGTTTCTGCTCTACCTCCCAATATTTGAGTTTTCCTCGCAATTTTCAAGCAAGGTGACCCGTTCATATCTCCTCCAGGGGTTAGGCTGGAAAAAATGCCACTTTTCGTTGTTAATCTTAGGGTTTTCCATGCAATTTTGAGGTCAAAATGCCCAAAGGTCAACTTGAGGTCACAAAGGGGTCAAATGGGTCAAACTTCCATATTTGGGTTCAGAATCCCATGGGGGTCCTAACTACCAAGTTCCATTCATATCCATTAATACTTCACTAGTTATACCATTACTAAGGGCCATAATCACTTTTTCCGGAAAAAAGGCTTTAACACCGGAAGGGGTATTTTTCGGGGTTCGTATCTTATGTGCCTTGCCACAAAAAAATCATTGTGTCACCGTCTAATATTTTGCGTAAATTGCCTATTTCCGGTCTAAAAGGGTGTTTTTCGAAGTGCTAATAGTTTCCGATCCACTCGTTGGACAATTTTCAAACTAGAACACAAGATGTACTTTGCCATTACCTATCATATCTCCAAGATTCAGCTCCCTGTGATGATTGGAGGCCGAGAAACGACTTCCGGAAGTTAGGGGTGGGTTTGTTTACTTAGGGCATAAAACCGGAAGTGGGGTTTCTAGGAGTCTGGGATTCTAACTTGAGCTTCCCTTAACTAGTCCTAGAACATACTAAAATCTGAGCCCAAAACCGCCGCTAGTTTCCGAGTTCTGATAGGGACATTTACCCTTCCGGGGACCGTTATCACTTGCCCCCCAAGGGTCTTAGTGGTCCTGTTTTTCGTATGCTCGGGTCAAATCATCTCTAGTATCGCTCCTCTGAATTTCATAACATTAGCTTCCTTAGTTCCAATTTGATGGTGGGGGGAGGGTGCGCTGATTTTGTCAAATTTTTCTTTTCTGGCATACGATATTTTCGAAGAATGAACTATTTTGAACTCGACCCTTTGTTTGCTCAACTACTTAACTTAATGACGAATCAATCTTACGCTCAGGCTACTAAAGCATGTAATACAGTAGAATCACCAATTCTACAATTTTTACTTTCGTAGTTGATGTTTCCTTCGTCGTTGATCTCACACTCAGCCATCAGCTCCTCCATCTCCTCTGAGTTCAGCTGGTCAATCGATCCCGCCTGAAAAAAAATCATTCAAATCACAAATTAGGGTTAGTATCATTTTAATATACTCTGGCTCGGCTAGAATCAAGGGAGGATATAGGGGGGACGGGGGACGGGGGACGGGGGCGGACGCCACCTCTTCTCAGGGATTCGACCCCCTGCCGATCCAAAGGTTCCCCCTTTATACTATTTTGAGATATCCATATTTGGGGACGGATCCCAAAAATTTTCTAAAGGCGCCTTTGGCGCAAAATATATACTAAATTTGTGGGGGATGCGCGCGCCGAAAAACCTCGATTTTTTGGTCAACATTTTCCAAAAATTGCCTAAAATGCCTTTTTGGTCTGTTTTTTAGCATTTCGCCTGAGGCGCAGAAAACTTGATCAAAACAGGTTCTTTTTAAAGCTTTGGGAGAGCTCGGAAAATCAATTTGATGGACCTACAAAAAAGTCGACAAAACTTTCGAATACTTTTTGAAAATCCGCCTCCCCCCATTCGAGAAAAACCTAGATCCGCCCCTGGTTAGAATTAGCTGGAACTATGATTATGGTCGGACTGCCATATACTAATTTTTTTTTCTTTAAAGCTTTTTCCTAGCTTTTTTTTCCAAAATTTTCGTGGCTCAACAGAAAGTTAAAAAACCGCCATTCTCTTGAATTCTTCCAGACCTCAGCCAAAAAACAATAATATCCAAGCCATCATGATAGAGCCATAATTTTGACGAAGACAATTCGAAATTTTCCTCTTTCTCTAAAACTTAGAGTTAATTAAGCATTTATGAAAAATATCAAAATTACTGGTCCAGAATGATTGACGTGAATTGTAGCAAAAGAAGAATGGGGAATTACGATATCTTTTTGTTATTAGTTTACGACATCCAAATCTGTCAGATAAATCCTAAAATGTTCTAAGAACATGCTTAGAAAAAAATTGAGTCTTTTTGCTGCTTCGGAAGGGCTTGTTCAGCTTTGTTCAGCCTAACTTTGTTCAGCCAAATAAAAGACTTTCAAATTTTTGAAACTTTTGATCTAATGACACTCTTTGAAATCCTCTGCAATTCGACCATGACTAAAATATTTAAAATCAAGGGTTTATTATATATGCTGTATCGAATTGTATTTTACGCAAAACCTGTTGCATTAGTATGCGCATGTCTTGCTCATTGATGAATCCGAGTCCATCCGGATCGAATTGTCGAAGGGCATCTCGGATGATCTCCAGGTCCTGGTCACACTCAAACAGCTCCATGTTCAACACTCGGCAGAAGTCGTGGTAGTTCAAGAACCCATCGCCTAAACGACTCGCCAAAAGCTTTTATCATGGGAAAACTTTGTGGGAGGGCAATTCCTGGTGTTTCCTGGAAAAACTTGGAAAATTTAGCCACGATAATGGCTAATCTTACATTACCCATGAAACATGGCTACCCGGGTTGACCAAAAGAATAATCAAACAATTTTCATACATGGAAAAATGTAATTATACACATTTTACAATCAATTCTAAAAGTACAGAAAAACGCATAAGAGGTCTCTAATTAGTAATTTATTAAATATAGAAATTGTACACTAGCATTTTTCAAAAACAAAAAAACTGTTATTTTTTAAATTTAATTTCTTTAATTTTTGGGTTATGTTTGTAGTAGAATACAATCGAAAAAGTCCTTGGCTTACTTGATACTAGAATCACCAGTGGCTGTTAGACCTAGCCTTTACAATGTTTAGCAAATTACCTGAATATTGGATGTAACTACAAAAAAAGTCGACAAAAGTTTCGAATACTTTTTGAAAATCCAACCCCCCTCCCCACCTTCGAGAAAATACTAGATCCGCCCCTGGTTAGAATTAGCAGGAACTATGATTATGGCGGGACTGCCATATACTATCTTTTCAAAGCTCTTTCCTAGCTTTTTTAAAAAACTTTCCTGGCTCATCAGAAAGTTTAAAAAGACTGCCATTCTCTTTAAACCTTCCGGGCTTCAGCCAAAAAACAATAATAACCAAGCCATCTTGATAGAGCTATAATATTGACCATAATATTGAGGTGGTTCAGCTCTGTTCAACCTAGAAAAAAGTTTTTCAATTTTTCGAAATTTTTGACCTAATGACTCTCTTTGAAATCCTCGGCAATTCGACCATGACTATGATATTCGAAATCAAAAATTTTTCTATAAATATCGTGGTAGTTCAAGAACCCATCGTCTAAAGACTCGCCATTAACATTAATCATGACAAAACTTTGTGGGAGGGCAATTCCTGGTGTTTCTTGGAAAAATTTGGAAAA